TCTTTTTAATTAAATATAATGTCTTCAAATGACGAATAAAAAAAAAATGTTTCAACAGCAATTCCGAACTCGTATTTGATAATTTTTCACTGGGATTTAAATTTAAATGCAACACAATGAATTTAAAAATAGTTTTTTTATGAACAAAAAACATTTTCTTTGCTGCAGCATTGATACTTGAAGAGGAATTCGTCAAAAAAAAATCCTAGTTTGCAGGATTAAATAATTATTTAAAAATTAAAATAAAATAAACGAATTCAAAATAGGATAAAAAATTGACGTATTAAAATAACTTATTATTTTATGTATTAACACTAAAAAAGTTAACATATTAAAAAAAAAAAAATTGTAAAGCTCAAAATAATTTAATTTATATTAAGCACACAATATATGAAGTATGAACAAACTCTTTAGATAAATAATATTATGTTTTCAGACGACATTATTAGGTCATCCTATATTAGTATGCAATAAATAAATACATTTATAGAACCACCATTACCTAATGAAATTTAATTAGAGTTAATTGATTAAAAATCTCAAAATAATGGGTTATTCAATATATTATATATTATATGATATAATATTTATATTTGTTTTCTGGGAAATTAATATTTCAGTTCAATGCTGTTTACGAGTTTTTCATCTATACTTACATTTTAAATTAATTTATAAACGTGAATGACGTATATAAAAATAATATTCATTACTGAAATTCGAGGCTGAAACTAAAGATGTCACAATAGTGGAAGGGGATATTTTTGTGGTTGTTGTTATACTATAACAAAAGTAGATAAATATTATATAATACAACAATCAGAAATAATAAATTAAATTTAACCCCACACTCTATAAAATTGTGTTTTAGATTTTAACAATGAATTATGGGTTTGACGTATTATTATGAAAAATTTTTTAGTATTGTACTGGCTACTAGATGTTTATATCGTGGAAAACTTCCCATTGCCAAACACGTAGAAAGTGTTTTCGATTCAAATTACATATCTTATTTAAAAATATATAATATAGATATTAGGAAAAAATCAGTCTTTTAAAAATTAAAAAAAAAAGGTAAAATTTCTTTTATAATCATATTGATGGTCTCAATATGATAATTAAGCAAAGTTTATCAAACTTAGGAATAAAAAAAAAGTACCTTAAAACTAAAATAATATATACTAAATATCATCTAAATGTCAAGTTTTAAACCGAATGAAGTAATAAATGTCTGTATTAGTTTAACAATGACGATAATAATATGTTTTTGTGCCTATTATAATATTTTGGAACAGAAAACAAAGCACACAATTTCATCATCGAGGGTGATTTCTAGAAACAACTTTGATGTGGTTTGTACTTTGAGGTTTTAGGGAAGGCAGATAAAAAATACGTTTTTTTATAGTATTGGGTAAATAACCAACAGAAAACCGCATACAACAATATTATGCGTGTTGGTAATTGAGTAAATTTGGCATTCCTTCCAGAAAGGAATAGAGACTCGAAGTTTTCAACAAATATTAATAATATATAATTTCTATAGGTACATGATAAATTATTTAGAATTATTTTTATGAGCAATTCATTGGTATTTCAAATTTTCAAATTTTATTTTTTTGAGTTAAAACTCTAAATATTTTGTGCAAAGTTCCCAAGTTATAACTTATTTGTTAGTTCAAATACGCATAATTACAATTTATTTTTAGACTTAAAAAGTTCAAATTTTTATTATATAAACGTACAACATAGATTTTTCGTTTAATGATTTAAGTTATTTTGTTGTAATTCAAAATATTTTAATTTTAGACACATAAAACATTTTACTAATACTTAAACCATTGGTTTTTTAAACACAACAAATTTTTCAAAATATAGAGTCTTTTTTTAAGCTATTTATTACATAAACCTATCACAACATTCTCAAGTATATCCTTAAATGAATAATAATAATAATATATTATGATTTAATTCATTAAAATAATTATTATGTAATATATTACGTATTTTGTTTGATAAAAATTAGTTGAACATACTACATTACTAAAAAAAATACATCTTGATCAATAAAAACATTTATATTTACATAATATTCTATGAAAAAAATGAATAATTGAATTAAGATATACCAGGGGATTTAACATTGTTAATTTTATTTTGAATTTTTCTGGTTATTATTTTTGGTTTTAAATAAACTTACCATTTTTAAGTAATTTTTTTTTTAATATGTAGAGCTTTTTTACATCTTATAATGTATTTTTTCATATTGTACTTGCATAATAATTTATAGAAACATGTTTTTTTTTAGTATTTTTGTTTGTTGGTTTCTGATTATAAATCACGTATTCATTTTTATACATTTGTATGAAAATTAAACAAATAATATTTTAATAGATTTCTATTTTCATATTATGTACTTAAAATTATAATTTTTAATTTTTCATAATATATGTAATTACATTATGGCACATAAAATTATAAATTATTTTTTCTGTTAATATAGTTAACAAGTTTGTTATATATATATATATATACATAGCATTTTTAATATTTTTAGGTTATCAAAATCCCAGCCATTTAATAATAGAGATGTTATATTATAATTTATAATTTATGCGATTATCTTGTCAAAATGTTATTGTTCATACCACATTACTAATTTAAGAATAAATCACTTGTAATAATATAAAATATGTATTGATGTTTTTAATTGTTTATTAAAATTATAGACATATTGTCTTTGCTTTTAAAGGTAATTATTGAACTTTTCATTAAACATATCATGGGAATTTTGAGGTGATTAATTTTTTTTTAATATGCAAATTTTAAAAACAGAAATTATATTATAACAGTAAATATATTGTTTAAGATTTAATACTTGACGATAATTTAACTCCCTTCACAAATTTGTGCCAAAACTGCTATTGAATTATAAGCTATACATCAATAGTACATTCGTATACTAGTATAATATAGTATAGACCTATACAGAAAAACAAATTGGTAAGATTTTTTTTTAATTTGTGATTGGTGTACCTGTACATACCTACCGTGTAATAAAAGTAATAAATTACTTTACGGTTGTCATGCTAATGAAAATTCAATATTAATATTTTGTTCAAAAAATGTATCTATACAACAACGATATCTTTGAGATTCCGTACGGAACATACAATTACTATGTAAACAATTTTGGTAAAAACATTTCTCCTGGTGGTCTGTCGAAAAAATACCATCCGGTTTGTCTCGAGATGGCGCACGGATATTCATGCACTTATCGAATTATTGACGCAATTTGTCCATATAGATAGCGTAATACATGTCTTCTTATAGTATTAATTTGCACAGAAATTGTATATCAAATGAGATATTTTTAATGATTTATATTGTAACTACTACATGGCTTTGACTCGTTTTTATTTGTTTATTAGCTATCTTTCTATATATATAAAGTTGTAGTTATAATAATTATTATTACATAATAATATTTTTTATATAATAATTTGATTGTAAAAGACATGGAATTTGAGAGGATAAAAAACTTTATATATTTAAGGGTGGAATTAGGTGTTTCAGGCAATAATCGTAAGGAAATACTAAGTAAAAGTATAATAGATAGGTAGGTAGTAGTTGCCTCAAAATACGGTGTTATTATTTACATCATAGTCTTTAATTAAAATTAATTGAAACAAAACGTATGGCCTCGCACGAATATTGTAATATTTCAGTGGGATGTATTAATTATTATATAAATGTGAACAATGCACTTAAATTATATAACTTGCTATTAATGTTCACACGATAGGTAATATCATTAAAGTAAATATTACCTACGCTGAATAAATTTAAATTTAGCTGCAGATTTATTACATAATTTGAGAAGCAAATTACAAAATATAAAGTTCAGTAGCTCATATTACACTCATTCGGAATTCTCCGTTACATTTGGTGACGCAACCTATACTTATATTATGTAGTAGTAATTCGTTTATGAATCCATAATTGCATTTTTTTTACAAATAAACGTTTTAATTAATTTCTCACACGGTAAAAAATAAAATATACGTTGTTTTATTAAATAAATCCTAGGAATGTTGTAAATATATATTTACACTAGTTTACTATTATACATTTATACCACAATATAGTTTACTGATACTTATATTTTGTATTAACTATATTGGTATAATTTCATATCAGGCATCGTATAAAATATGAAAATCTATCATAATGTATGTACCATTCAATTATGACAATTTTACATAAAATTTAATAATATTGTATTTTAATACATATTAACTAAATCATTTATTCATACAATATTATTAATTATACGCAACATTTTACATACAACTTATATTACTCGTAAATTTCAATATTACCCGTTTTAAATGCATAAAAAAAAATGAGATGTTTTCTATTTCAAAAATCGAGTAAATTAGCCAAATAATAAGTAAAGTAGCTATATTGAAATTTAAACTTGAAACCGGTTAAATTATTGTATCAATATTATAGATAAATGAATTAATTATTTTGATATTATGTGAATCGATTATATTCGATTATTCATTTTATATAATATTATTTAACACGATTACCATAATTATACCAAACATTATTTTATTTTATTTTCATAATAACTGTAAGATATAAGCAGAAATACAATTATGGAAAGAAATTTATAGATTTTCATAAAGCATTTTAATTTACTTATACAGTTATACGTATTTTATTATCACATTTTATATTATTAGTCATTGTCTCAATAATAATTTCTAATCCTTCTGAAAAATCAATATTTTTTTTATTCAGTCGTTCTATTTTTTCTCAAAACCAAGAAGAAGAAAAAAAAATATTAAAATTAAATTTTTAGTACAAATAATATTTATTATATTACAATATAGGTAAGTAACTACAAAAATAGTTAAACAGGCATAATACAATATAAATAATCGGCATTATTATTTTAGCATTTTTAAAAATGGAAAAAAATAATGGTAGATACATAGATATTATATTCTTTAAAAATTAAAATTAACAGCACTTAATATGTATTTAATTATAAAAAATAAAATATACACGTAGTCATATGCTGCATCACAGTTTGTCTAAAATAATATGTTTTTATTGTATAGTCTTATAACTTCCTGCGTCACTTGAGTATTGTATACGTGATGGATGTTTATAAGACGAGTCAACAGTGAACGATTCACGTTTACTGTTGAGCGAAATTGAATTCGAGTCACCGTAAAAATTTTCGGTACCTAGTTTGTAGTCGTTGTAAGGGTTGACGGCAATCGGAGTACCGGGTGTGGTATAAGAACTACTCTGGATTAAGTTTGAATCGCTATAGGAGTTCGCAGAAATTGAATTCGAGTTGGTGTAAGTCACACTTGGAATTGAGTTAGGTGGGTTTTGACCACCTGTCGGGTTGACTGCAGACACACCGCGGTCGGTTCCAATAGACTGTATCTGGGCAGCTGGTGGTGCGTTAGTCGAACCGGCAAACTCACCGGCGGTACTGGAATAAGATATGCTAGGAACGGAATAGTAATTGGGAACGTCGCTCGATACACTATTCGAAGTACCCGAAACTGGAACAGAGGCTGCCGTATAATAAACATTTGTGTGGGTTTGGTCAGGTTTGGCGTTCGAACCAGCCGCACGGAAATCATTCGTATTCCCGGGGAGCTGTCCGCCGTTCGAGCCGCTAAACACCTGGTTTTGACCGGAAGTTCCGGCCGTGGGAGCCGACGACAAGCCGAAATCGTTAACGGGATAGTTGTTGTTATTTTTATTGATGTCAGCGGATGGATAGGAAGGTGCTGAAGGTGACAAAATGTTCGCATTTTGTCGGTAATCGACCGACGATGGAGGCGCGGTGTACGGCGGTGGTCTCAATTCCAAAGCTAAATCCGGTACGGATCCAACGTTAGAAGTGTTCGGTGGACCCGCTGAACTGCTAGTTGTGGGTTGTTGTTGTTGTTGTTGTTGTTGTTGGTACGCGGAAATTCGGAAATCTTCGGCAGTGGTTGGATATGGCTGTTGCGGTGGCTTAGATATGGCGGCTACATACGACTGTTGCAATGGCGCAGATATTGCATTCGGATACGACTGTTGCTGAAATACAGATGTGGAAGCCGGATGTGACTGTTGTAATGGTGCAGATATTGAAGTTGGATATGACTGTTGCTGTGAATTAGATATCGTGGCTGGGTATGACTGTTGTAGTGGAGCAGACGCGATGGTGGAATATGACTGTTGAAGTGGCGCAGGTACTGAAGCTGAATATGACTGTTGCTGTGGTACAGATGTAAAAGCTGGATATGATTGTGGCAAGGGAGCAGATGCGGTGGACGGGTATGACTGTTGTTGTGGTACAGACACGGTTGCTGGATAAGACTGTTGAAGTGGCACAGGTATTGCAGCCGTATACAACTGTTTTTGCGGTACAAATGCAGTGGCTGCAGGATATGATTGTTGCAGCGAAGCAAGTGAATCAGGAGCGGAGTTAAGCGATTTCACAGGAACTTGTTGCTCATTAGGTCTAGTCTGTTGCAATTGAACTGCCTTTTGATCATTCGGTTTCGCGGATTCGGTGGCCGAAAGTTCGTAAAAATTAAGACCGGCATTACTGACTTTTGGATTATACTTTATACCGACCGGAAACGAGGACGGTGAACCGGGATCAATTGCAGTTCTGAACTGAAGCTGATTAAGTGTGGATTCAGAAAATGGATAACCGATCGGGCTGAACTCGGAGCCAAATGTGGTAGCGGCATATGGATGAGACAAGTGCAGTAAACCACTGGCAACGTCGTCGAACCCGAAGCCTGCTGAGGTGGACGGGAAACCAGAACCGTAACCGAAATCCGGTAATGTCGCGGACGGATTGAAACCACCAAAGTTCGTGGCCAACGCAGAAGTCAAGTCCACGTTCGGGTCGGCGGGGCTCCGTTTATACTGGTGGTAGACATAAGCGCCGATTGGCGACGGTGCTGCATTCGCAGGCCTACCGAGTGGAGTGGTTAGCGCCAAGCCTATGACGACACACATCTACAATAAAACAAAAATTACAGGTTTAAACGTTAAACGTTTTTTACCGAAGTGATGTGTATATTATAAATTATAATGTATTGATAATCATAATCGTCTATAAACTCTATCGTCTTGGAGGCGAAATCGAGAAATAAGAAGAGAAAAATAATACTATTGAGAATCATAAATATATACAATAATATCGCCTCCGACAACGCTTTAACGCATTAGCGAGTGGATATCGTATTTTATTACGTATTGGTATTTTACTAATATTTCCTATAATAGTACAATACTGCGACAACGGAAATTGTTATATCCGCGGCTGTAAACCGACCGAGATTATTACTAATATCATAATAAATATTATTACCTTTAAACACTCCATGGTGAAGATGTGCATAATATTTTGATGTCCGTGCACTGCAGTTATGAACTGATAGCCGGCAGCCGACGCGCTCATCATTTTATAATAATATTTTATAACCGGTAAAGCAGATTCCCATCGATCCTCTTCCTCCTTCTCCACTCGACGCCGACGCCATATGGCGGTCGCGTTATAGTAAGTTTTGTACGATTTTTATTTTTGTCGTGTGTCGCTATACTTTCTCCGTTTACTTAGGTACTACACACTGCCCACATAATATAATATACATATTATATATACTATGGGTATTAATAATAATAATATACCCATAATACATTCGCATAACGGTCATTATAATAGACGCTATTCCGGTTACGCGTAAAATATTATGTACCATCAATAATATTAATATGTATTTGTAAGTAAACGATGGTTTCAGACTCCAATGTTATTGTAATGGTCTTAACGGCGTGTGTCGGCGTTGTCGTAATACGTTATGACGATCGCGCGCACGTCTATACAGAGTGATTCATCAGCCATGCTCTCCCCATTAATTTTTTTTTCTACGAATTAATTTAAATTTTGATTCACGGAATTTTTCAACACACTTACAGACCATAGTTTTAAAAATTACGTGGATTTTTTTCACTGATTAAGTGATAAAAACTCCTATTTTTAAAATGAGAACCCTCCTCTTTTACTGTAAATTATTAAGGGGACAATATTTTTGAAACGTTTGATGTATTTTAATTCAAACGTTTAAACGAGTAATTTTTTATTTATTTAATAGAATAATAGATCTGTGACGATAGATTTGGAAATCATAAAGACTAAAGTAAGACTGTGGTAATTTAAAATTTTTAATAATTTATAATGATCTGTTTGTAAAATTAGTTCAAGTATTATAAATACTAAAACTGATACTTCATCTATTTTATATTTTTGTCAAGCCATTTTTAATGACTTATATTCCTGGTATAAATGAATATAAATTATTTTTATTATTATTATTATTAATATCGTATTTTAATAACCAAATAAAACTACTCGTTCAAATCTTAAATTAATTACATCAAGTTTCAAAATAATGTTTCATTAAATAACTTTAAGTATAAAAGGGTGTGTTAAGTACAAGTAAATAATATAGTCGATTCTAAAAACAGAAATTTAAATCTCCACAGAATACTCTTAATGTAAAACAAAAAAATCTCAAGAATCTAAAAAATATAAATTAAAAAAATTAATTTTTATACCATAAAAAAAATGTGATTGTGAAATTACCACAATTCACTCTGTATATTGTTGTAAATAATGCATCGAAACCGACTGAACCTATACATACGCATATATAGTATTAATGATGCGAGACCAGTTTTCGCGGGCACTTCTTTACGTCTAGCAGTGCGTTGTACTCAAAGACGGCATGTAGAAAAAAATCAACGCATGTCACCCACATCGATTCATCTCTCGTTCGGTAACCGTACGAATGGATGTTACATTATTATATTATATATTTACGTATTGTGTAACCGCACTCGAAAACCGACTCTTTGCATCCTGTTTATTCGGTTTGTTCGCGTTCACGACAATATTTCACCAACGAAAGTCGATTTGTATTGCTATACGCATTACGTATAAAGTTTTGGATTGGCATTTTTTTTATATACGTTTTCTAGTATAAATGATTATAGTATCGGTTAAAAAACATAGGAAACATTGACAATAATAAATGGTTTATCAACGTCAATAGTTGTGGTCCAGGAATTACCTTTTCAATAGTTTTAAACTTTTTAAGGTATACAATTAATCGGTTTTTACCGATTACTCAACAGTCATTACTACTATAGTTTTATAGTTATATTATTGTTACAAATGATTTTTAAACAATATCAATTAAGTAACAAATACGTAGGTAACTACTAAATAATATATAATATACAGAGCGATTTTTTAACAAACAACCTCATTATTTCAAAATCTATTAATGTTTTTGAAAATATTTTTTTACATTATTTTCAGTCGAAATAAAACTACATTCTTAAAAATATTTATTAATTTTTAATTTAATATTGTTTGGTGGAATATTTTTTCTAGTATTTCAATACAAACAAAAACTTATATTCAAACAAGTAGTTTATGGGTTATAATTAATTTTAGTAATGGTGAGAATTGAGCAGAATGGAGAGGTATGGGATTGGTACCTAGTAAAATGTTGGTCTACTACTCCGTTTACTTAAACATTAAATACTTATAAATTGTATTTCATAAACTACTGTCGGAATTACGATTTTTATGTATCGGAATACTCCAAAAAAATATATAGCTTCAAAATATAAATTTAATAATGTATTTTATCATTCAGAAAAATAAAAACTTAAAAAAATATATAATAATAAAAAATATTTAAAAATATTGTTTTATTTTAACTAGAAATTATATAACAACATTTTTTTTTTTCAAAAATATAGGTAAATTTATTGTGAAATAATGAGTATGATTTGATAAAAGAATCACCCAGTATAATAAAATATGAAACATTTTAGATTCTAAATGAAGCTACGAATGTATTGATTTTACAATTATGCGTGTATGTGTGTGTGGTTTTGTGATTTTAAGATTATATTATATACGTATACAATAATTAGTTTAAAAAAATGCTTCAATTTTTAACTTTGAAGGTTTTTTTTGGACAGTAAATTAAATTTAGTTTTTTGACGTAAATCAAATACGAACAATTGTAGATAATTTAAACTTTTACTTTTACCAAATGTATGTAATTATTTTCAAAACAATATATTACTTCCAACATATTATGACTTTTTTTGTATTATAATTTATAAATATTTCAAATTTTTCATTTTTTTTTTTTTTAAATATCAATAAAAAATGATTTGCAGAATAAAATATATGCTTGAAAATTTAATATAAAATTTCTAATAAATAGTTTAATATACTGAAATTAAAAAATTTAAAAGCTCAACTTTTTTCTTTATAGACATTTTAAGTTTAAATTTTGACAAATTACTTACTTGAACTATAAATGACAATATTCATTATTTTGTTTTAGTTCCAAAAAATTATTAATAGGCACATACAATTAATAATATTTTTAAGTGTAACGTTTTCTAAAAACGTTTTTTTGGCCTAATGTAAAATAAATTATATTATTTAATAGCAATTTTTAAAAAAAAAAACATTACATTAAATATACTAAGTGATATAAGCTGATAGACCATCTTCTTTCAACATTGTTTTTTATATTCAATAACGTAACATTGAATTTAAATTTAACACTTCCGTCACAGTGACCCATCCGACGTATTACTGTTCAAGCTGTTCAGTAGAGCAGTCCTCAATTATCCTTCTTTTTTCTTTATTTTAGTTTTAAAGTATGCTGTTTTGTTATAAAATATGTCTTTATGAATTAAAACATTATTATATTGTATAGTTATATACATAGGTAGTTTTAGGTATAATGATGTATAAAGTAACTTTTATATTTATACTTGCAACATCTTTGTTTCAAACAAAAAAATATTTAAAAAAAATGTTTCTTATACTAAATATATTATTATAATATATAAAGAGATTATTAAGAAACATTTTTTTTTAATTTAGAATTTTTCGATTTTTTATAGATGGAGTATTTCAAAAATGTACATTTCATGAAATTTTTAAACTTTAATAAATAATTACGTATTATTATTTATGGTTGCCATAAATAATATATAATATAAGTATTATAAAATTAATATCTTAGTTTAAACAAAAATACATTTCTAAAAACGTCAACATATACAATATCAGTTATTGAACTAATTTAATGAATTTAATGTATTATAGAGTACCTATAATAAACTATATTATTATATTATGTAGATAACCATTTAAATAAAGAAAAAAGATAGCTATAGTTTCATTAATACAAACATATGAGAGTGGACAATGCACATATCTTACAAAATACACACACACCTTAAATTTTTAAAATATAGAATGTCGTAAAAAGCATATATACTTATCGATATAATCGTTATTTGTAGGTAGATTTATAAGTATCTCTACACCTATATTATAATTTTTTGATCGGCTATATAATATACTACATATACTAATACAGTAATACGTATATTATAAACGTATTTTTTTTCAAATTTATTTTTATTTCTTATAGAAAGTAAAATATGTTAATCCGTATGACTTGTTTACTCATGTTACAATATATATATATATATTATATACAATTTGCTAATGTTTAGTAATATACTAATACGATGTATACTACGCATAACATAGGTAGTATTTACGATAAAATAGAATAACAAATATTTGAATTTAATATGTGTGTGCTATATATATATTATGATTAAAATAAACAAGGTATAACCTATTTATAATATTATATTACTTACATTATAATATTATACATCGTAAAGTAATGACTAAAGTTCGGGTTTGTCTTCAAACGCACTTTATGCTTTATTTACTGTTGAACCAACTTTATCTATTTCAAAATATTCCATTTGTCTAAATAATGTACGATCTAATTTATATTATGTATATTTGTAAAGGTATACTTATGTGTAGGTTTATATTATTAGCATATTTATATTAGAGTCTAAAGGGATTCATGTTTTCGATGATAATATTTAAAATGTATTTTACAAATTTAATGATCAAATTACAAATATTATACTCGTACATAGGAATCGCCCACCATAATCAATAGCTTTGCTAAATTAGAATCTTTAAAGTCAAAGTTATAATGATTGTAATTATTAGCAAAAGAGTTATAAATAGTAATAACAACAAACAAACAAAATGTTTCTTGTCGACATTTCATCTTTTGATACTTTTCATTTAATTAGTACCGTCTTTGTATTATATTTTTAATTTTTAATTCGAGCCTTATTAAGTGCCTCCAATGGGTGGCTTCTTATCTCCTGTCTTTCAAGCCATGTTATTTATTATCTCCATCGCATACGCTTATTGTAAAATAATATTACGTATTTAATAATAACTGTAAAAAAAAAAAAAAATAATAATAATAATTCGAGCCTTAATAATAGCATAAAAAATATTATTATTATAATTCAATTCATTTGACAACGTG